CTACTCAGGAGGCTGAGGTAAGAGAAACAACTAAGCCCAGGATTTGGAGGTTGCTGTGAGCTGTGATGCCATGGCACTCTACTGAGGGCAATAAAGTGAGACTCTGTCTCTACAAAAAAAAAAAAAAAAAACCAGAAAGAGAAAGAAAAAGTGGCTATTTAAATTTAAAGTTTCCTAATCCATGAACATGTTTGTGCATTTATGTATTATTCAATTTTTTGTAACAGTGTTTTCTAGTTTTTGGTATAAAGACCTTATACAAATTTTACCAGATTTATTCCTAAGTATGTGTTTTATTTATACTATTGCAAGCTTCTTTTTGTTTCATTTTTGTTTATTGCTAATATATAGAAATGCATTTACATTATATATATATGTATCTTCTAGTCTATGCCTGTCCTAAATCCATTTATTGTTCTAGTAGTTAGCAGATTCCTTTGAGTCTAAAGACAAACTTAAATCTTCCAACACTATTGTCTACCAGTGTACTTCTCTAACTCTTGTTCCCAGGGAGATCATTATCACCAGATAATTTTGAACTCTTTCAGCAATATTTCATGCATATACAGACAGAAATGATATTGCTTTGTAACCTACATACAAATAGTATCCCACTTCAAAGTTCCCTCATCTTGCCTTTCTGTGAGGATCAAATTTATTTCCAGTATTTAAAACTCATGTAAAAACACATTAAACAAAGAAAGCAAGTTTTCAAATATTATATAGTTTTCCCCAGGTTTATAATACCAAAAGGAATAATGCAATGTCCAATTGCTGTTTAGCAATATAAATTAATACAACATACTACATATTGTGAGCATTTTATATGAATTACTGTGGAGTACTATAGTATATAAATATATATGTTCGGTTCTACAATGGGTTCTTTGGGACAGCAGTTTTCAATCCTGGATTATCACTGGAATCACCAGGCCCACTTTCATAAATGCTGATGTCTGGGTCTCACCCCACAGAGTCTGATTTCACTGATACAGGATATGGTCTGGGAAAAGGGATTTTTAAAAGTACCCAGGCGATTAAAATGTGCAGCCAATTTGATACTGGTATTTTAGACCTTACTCATACAGTTTCTTCTATTTGAAGTACATATATGTGTGTACACACACACATAAATATACATTCTCCACAGTGAAATTTTAAATGCCTAACAAAGTAAGAGAGTTTATATTTGCAATTTTTATAGGTAATGTCATGGATCAAAAAAGTTAAATAACTTGGAAACATACAATCTGTATAATCTTAAATAAGGCAATTAACCTTTCCCCATTACCATTTCTGCATGCCCCCAAAAGAAATCTTAACAATGAACTGTAACTAGTTTTTGTTAAGAAATAGTTGCAGATCGCTTTCAAACAGGAATTATGATACAAATGTCTAAATATAGAAAAAAATGCAAAAAAAAGCTTGAGAAAAAATACTAAAAACACCTATTAATGGTTCTTTAGTACCAATTGCTAACCTTTTGTAGTCAGGAGCAATTGCTCTACTTGGGATCAGGATTAGTACTAAGTCATGTGGTCTATTTGTCTACTCTAGTGTGATCTTCTATTTTGTTATGCTAAAATTGTTAAACATTATTTTAAAATACTACAAGTATCATATGTCAAGGTATAAATAAAACTAGTGTTTATACTTAGAGCATGAGGTTTGGAGGAGTTTGTTTTAATTGCCAAAATGAAATAATCACTCAAATAATTCTGTACCAAAGTCCTTATTTTCAGTGACCATTCATCCTAACATATTTCCTGATTGACTGAGGTGTTCAGAATGCTACATTACAACTTCTGCATATTTAAAGTCAATTTTAAAAGCTAAATTTAGATGTTGCTCAGGCAAAGAAGATATATTACAAAACACAGTGACACAGGTTAGGTACTGAGTAATCATTAGCAGGCAGGCAAGCAGAAAGGGAGGGAGAAAAGAAAGAAGGGAAATAAAAGGCTTTTGTGGGTAAAAAATGCATTAGAAATTTATCTTGAGAATTTCTTCAGTAAAATGTTACTGGAGTTAAGCGCAATATAAATCTCTCCTTTGCTATGTAAAACTTCGATAAGATTGAAGAAACTACTTATACTATTTGAGACTTATTTTGCTCATTTATTTAAATAAATTTAATAATACTTCTTAAGGATATTTTGGGGATTGAATGTGATCATATTTATGAAAATACTTAGCTAACAACTATATTGGATCTTCAATAGACAATCATAATTTAATTTTCATAATTATCTCTAAGTCACTTTTGCTTTTTTCATCTCAAATCTGAATTCTGTAAAATGCATTTTGGAATATAGATTAACTACCACCAGATAATTTACCCTCTCTTTCAGTTGTTTCACTATTCTGAGATTTTAAACTTTACTGTCCATCTCTAACATAGCTGAGAAGAGAAATTAATGTAAGTATATGAAAGGAATGTGTTCTAAATTGTTCACTGAGGTTTATAATTTTATTATTTTTATGTTATTGAATTCACAACATCTAGATACTTTAGAACCTTGTTACTCAGTGCGTTTTATAGAAAAAGGGCAATACTACCCCCAGTCAGATTTTTAAAAGCCAGACCTACTGAATCACAATCTGCCTGATAGCAAAATTCCCAAGTGTATGAACATTAAAGTTTAAGAAGCACTGCTTCAGACAATAGTCATTTAGCTATTACTCTAATGGAAATGTTAAAACACATGATTTACACTTCATATAAATTTTTTGATTTGCATCATCTTTATTACCCGAAATAAAATCCCATCTATCTTGCACATTCATACGTTATATAAATTTGGTTTTTAAAAGTCCGTAGGGGTACAGTCCCATCTGTTCTTTGACTTTCCTTGCTATTATGTCATACCTCAATTGCAGTTGAAGTCCTCTCAAAGAACAAAAGCAGATGTGGCTGCCTTGGGTCAGCTGCTCAAAGTGTGCTCACAGCCTGCCGGGTGGAGGTGGTCTCCTGTCACCATCTGGGCCATTTCTGCTGGGGAAAGCAGCGGCGCCTCATGGTATTCACCAGCCCAGCTCTAGAGCACAATCAGCTCTCCCTGTCGGTCCCCCCTGGAGACCAGCTTTCACTGGAAGTTGGTAGCACCGTCCCCAGTCAGCCACAATCCCTGGCAGGCCTGGTGGCCTTAAGGGAGCTCTGTGTCCATGGTATAAATTTGAACGAGGTCAGACACAATATTATCAATGATTGGCTTGGTAAGGTCGTCACTAAACACCTGCCACCATGGCTTCTCAGCCTCGGCCTCGGCAGGCACGTCGACTCCATACACTTGCAGGGCCAGGAAGAGCACAGCCACCGCAATGTGCTGGGCCCGGAAGCGGAGGCACAGCGCCCCGTGGTAGCTGTCCCGTAGCAGGGCCCAGGCGGTGATGGCAATGGGGGTTCGCTGCCAGCTGTAACGGTTCAGCCAGTTCTTGAGGGACAGCAGGTAGTGGAGCAGGTACTTGTGGGGGTGCTGGAAGGAGACCTGGAAACGCAAAACTCTGAGCATGAGAAGCTCACACTGCACCATGCTGTCTCGGAGCTCCCAGAAGTGGGAGTCCAGTTCCATCGGCTCGCTGCCTGGATTAAAGTACCTGGTGGCCACATTGATGATGTCACGGGTACGCAGGTGCTGCTCTTCCACTTTGCCTGCCAAGTAAATGGAAGACATGGCGACCAAGTAAGGGTCATAGGCGTCCACGTTGGTCTCACAAAAGAACTTACGGTAAATGGTGCAAGCAGTGGCAATGGGAACGGACTGCATCCCTAGCTTGATTCCTGCCTCCATGATGAACTTGGTTACGCGGAAGTGCACCCTCGTGTCCGGCGCCAGCCGCCCTGCGACCTCCAGGGCTGCGGCCCCTTCCCGGCAGCGCGGCGGAGTAACGGCCTCCATGTGGCCCCGCCCCGCGACTCCCACGGCCAAGTAAACTCTTGTTACATTCATACCTGATTCAGGTTCAGACGGACGGGTTAGATTTGTTGTAATGTGCACCCACTAAATCAGGATGAAAAACACACGTTTTTATAATATTGGATGTGCCATTAAATAATAGTGAAAATTCATCAAATTCTTAAACCTCTAAGAGTTTGTTTGATCACCTATAAAGTAAAAGGCTAGTTAATACATACTTCCCCTGCTACTCAGTGGGATTGTTTTAAGGGTTCATGTGAAAGATGGCACATTATCAATGTTCAAACTCTGTACGCATGTAGAAGATTATTGTAATCTGTGGGTCTATGAGTGCACAAGGTCTAAGACTGACAAAAGGCATCTAACTGTGGGTAGGTTGAGACTCCTTGGTGAACCCGGCATGGTGGCCCAAGCCTGTAATCCCAGCACTGTGGGAGGCTGAGGAGGGAGAACTGCTCAGGAGTTGGAGACCTGCCTGAACGAGAGTGGGACTCCAACTCAAAAAGAAAAAAAAAAAACAGCCTGGCGCCGCAGCGAGCTCCTGTAATCCCAGTGGCTTCCAGAGGCTGAGGCGGGGGATGCCCACAGCCAGAGTCTGAGGTTGCCGTGAGCTATGACGCCACTGCACTCTGCTCAGGGCATGGGTTGGGACTCTGTCTCAACAACAACAACAAAAGACTCCTTAAGGAGAAAGAGAACAAAATGCCAACTTCAGGATTTGACTAACCATTTTCCCCCTGCTCCCCTGCTTTTTAGTAGAAATAAAAGGTGAGAGGGATGTCCTAAAGGGGAGAACGGTTTTGTATAATTTAAATTTGTGATACACGTGTTTTTACAAAGCTTTAGTGTTCCAATCAGTTGTTTTGTATTTACTTTGATACGGAAACATGACCAATAGCAATATGAAATAAGACAAAAAGATAAATTTTACTCAGCACGTGCCTTCAATTTTTCCTAAGATGCTTCTTAGTAACTGAATTAAAGTCTGAGGAAACGCCATGTATTTGGAATGGCAGTCAGGATATTGTGAGGGATGTCTCCATAGACATCACCGATGCAAACTCTTGTTTTTTTCCATTACAGATAAAAAGACTTGTGGACCTCATGAATTCCAGTGCAAAAACAACAATTGTATTCCAGATCACTGGCGGTGTGATAGCCAAAATGACTGCAGTGATAATTCAGATGAAGAAAACTGTAGTAAGTATTTCTTGCCTAATAATGTTGCAAGCTTGACAGCCCATTCAATAAGCAGGATAACAATTTTTACTTCAGTTAAGGTATAAATTTGAACCTATCTGTCCTGAAGCTCACATTTTTATACATATATTCACATTTGGACAAGAATATTAAGACTACATTGACCTGAATCTCAAAGGGTAGAATTATTGAAATGCTCATCCTGAGAGTTATTTTCTTACAGGTCTCAGAATTGGTATGAAAGTATCATGAGGTTTAATGCAACCCTTTAGTATGCAATGAAGGAAGCCCTCAGTACAAGTTCATACAATGACCTGAATGACAGTACAAAACATCTCATTCTTTAACGGATGGTATTCATTTCATTTCAGGCTCAAATCCTTTTATGCTACAAATTCACCCATGAGCATCTTTCAGTGAAATATCATTTATTCTCTCTGGAGTTGTGAACACCTTGTGTATCCAGGATACTTGTCTCTGAAAATAAAATAACACTATTCTCATCATCTGTCTCCTACTTTCTAATGTAATAAATTTAAAAATAATAATTATAGATCAATTTTATTTTCTACAAAGTAAATAAAATTGTGGCAGTATCTCTGGGTTTTAGCATTAATTTTTGAATCTATTTCTTCTAACACTTTTATACTCTTCTGTTTAAACAAAGAAAGCAAAATAAGCATGTTTAAGATGATAATCAAATTCCATTTATTAAATATTTATATTCTACTTCTGAAAAGGAGTTGATGCAGATTAATAACAATAACGTCTATTCTTAGAGATATCTTTGTGAACAAAAAACATTCATTTCCCTGGTTGCAGAAGACTAAATGTACATAGGAATATGCCATGTTAAAGCATATAATTAGTAGAGTAAAAGCCTTAATAAACCACTTGAATATTAAACTTGTAAGACATCAACTAATGTTTTGAATATTTTTTAAAACTTAATCTGATTTGTGAATCAGTACAAATGTGTGTGAAGTACATTAAATATAAAATCTCTAGATTATTATGATTATATGGTACTTTGAATACAGGAGCCCTTATAACTCCCTCTTTACATAGATATTTTCTGATCATGGAATTTAGAAAGAAGGAGGACATTGAAGACTCATTAGAATATTTTAGATTTCTTTCATCAGTAAGTTTTTAAAAACTTCCTGTAGAAGGTCTGAGATCTGTTCAGTGACTAAAATTAAAATCTGACAGGTTGAGAATGGTAGGGATAGAACTGTAAAAATACAAAAAATAAAATATTATGTATATATTTTCTATTCATTTGTATATTTGAACTTAAACATAAAAATATCTACTTAGCTCAACTTTGATCTAAATATTATTAATCATCAATAAGTTACTTGATAGGAAATGGCCTGTTACTGAAGAATATTGAGAGCAACAGAGGGCGAGACAACAACCCTAGAAGCTTAGAGACCTTTATTCAGGGAGGAAGTTGAATTGGTGGAAGAAGTTATCCTACTGATCTAATAAGGAAAGTAGAAGAAGGAAGAGATAACCTGCTTCTACGTCTGCTGGGGTTTCCTGGGGTATTCTGATGGTTGAATATTATTGTGCTGTTGTCTAAAAGTCAGCCTGTGGCCTAAGAAAACAAAGAGAAAGAACATTGACTCTCACTTGTTACTGTGGAAATTTAGTGATAAATCATGGTAGTCACAGAACCCTTAAGAAAAAGCAAGGCAAGTAGTTGCAGTATAAAGCATTCCAATATAAAATACCAATTATGCGTGGTTCTTTTTTAGTTTCTATTCAGTCTGAGCTCATTGCATAAGAAAAGTAATATTGGTGAAGTTGCATAGGAGAGATGACAGTGAACAAAAATGAAGGGTACAATCATGACTTGGGAGAGTCAAAGGCACATGCAGTTCAAGTATGAGATTATGTTAACATGTTATACATGTAAGGGTATTTTAGGCCAAGTATTAAAGTACGTTCATATGTTAAACATTTAAGAGTATATTGGAGGAAGAATCAAGGAATCTAAATAATTGAGTTGTGTTTGAAGATTCTATCTTGAATAGACCAGAAGAAATGGGAATATTGAAAATGCTAGAAGTTTTACATAGGTAAAAACTGAAGCAATGAAGAATGAGAAAAAAATACAATTATTTCTATAGGGAAAAGTCATATAGTAACAAGCCTTAGAAAAAATACTGTTGCTATATTAAAATGCCATTAAAATATTTAATAATATCAAAATTATTGTAAATATATATTTACTTACTCATCCATCGTCCTCATATATTAGGACAGAGTTATATGCTGTCATATTTTCCAGACATCACTGATCAAGGTTATACTATTTGGTTCATATTTGGCAAGTTATTGTTAGCTATTATTAAGTAGTGAAACATACCAGAGATAGTGAATCAACTTTATACATTCAAATCAACCTTATAGACTTAACGATGGGGATATGTTATGAGAAATACACCATCAGGCAATTTTCTCATTGTAAAAATATCATAAGTTTTACTTCCATAAACTAAGATGATATAGCCTACTACACACTTAGGCAATGTAGTAGACTCTGTTGCTCCTAGGCCACAGACCTACAGTCTTCTTAATATACTGAATACTATAGGCAATTTAAAACAATGGTTAAATATCTGATCTAAACACACCTAAACATAGAAAATGTGTAGTAAAAACATGGTATTGCAATCTTACGGGACTGCCATTGGATGAGTATGTGGTCTGTTTTTGCAATCTCATTATCTGGCACATGAATGTAGTTAAAAAACTATAGCAAAATACTTTTAAAGTCACTTTGTACTTTTATCATTTCATCATCTGCTCATCATTTCCCTTGTTTAGTGTTTATTAGGGACACTTTGATTCAATAATCATTCTGTTTTAAAAAACAAGAAAATTGCGTTGGAGTTATTTTGTAGTCTAGATAAAACGTATGGAAATACTTGATAAATCTCAACATGTGTACTACCTTTATCAACAAAAAGAGTCTAAGTAATTGATTTCCAAAATAAAGTACCTCATATCTATCCTTTCATTATTAGTAAGTTACTAACCACCTAATAGATTTAAAAATACCAAGTTATTTGATTAACTGGATTTAGCTTCTCATAGACAAGCTGCTTCTGCCTTATTTGAATTTCTAGTACTTTCACACCAAATTTATGTTAGAAGGCTATTTGTATAGATGTCTGTTAACCTAATTGTATTCTAAAAATTCTTTTCAGATTCTTACACCCACATTCACATAACTTTTGAACTTCCCTCCAAGGGTTTATAAGATACTCAGCAGAGAAACTGGAATCTGAAAGTCTTTCTTCTCTGCCATTAAATCAATGTCTTGAAAGTCACTTTTATTTCCTGAGCTTTGGTTTGTTGAATATTATGAGACATGCCTTCCAAAGCTCTTTTCAATTCTGTGACTGCACCTTTTACCTCCATCAGTACTGGAGGAAGTGATCAGTCTATGTGATACCCCTGCTTTTTATTCTTATAGTAGAAGCCAAATTAGCCTTTCAAAACATGGACATGTGCCTTGCAAAAGTTTTTTGATTGCCAGTCTGGCTTGTCTAGATGTGATTTATGGGAATCCTGGTAAATTGTTTACATATGGGGTTCCCCCGTCTACTCTTGGTCTAGGGATGTAGATGATATCAGAGAAAATTAATGTGGGAATGGCATTTTAGAAATACTAGGAAAAATTTCACATTGAAATTTTATTTCCCAATGGGTTCTGTTTCAAGTATAGTTTCTGACAAATGCTAACTATCATGCCCAAGTCTGAATATTGTTCTTTTACTTTATTTGGAAATAGAAATTAAAGAAAAGATAAGCAAAAAGAAAAAAATTTCTTAGGACCCTCTCTCATAACTAAATTACATTTTCCCCTGGAGAGTTTCTTTTGAGCTATCCAATGGCAAAACATTTTGAGATATACAGACGAGAAATACAAATAAGCCAGCTAGCCCATTCTTTGGTGGTAAGAATTACCACCATAGGTGGTAATTACCATAGGTGTAAATAATTTATAGTTATTCAGAAGTCCATTTGCTGGCATTTTTGAAAACATGATAGAGATGTAAAGAATTTCTATTTTTCCAGAATAAGCTTTTCTAGCAAATCACCCATTATCTTGTATCAGTCAGACATTTTGACACAGAGTAATTAATAATATTAAGATAGAGTCTCAACAGAACAAGTGCTCTGTGGAACTAAGTGAATTGGGCCCATTCCTCCAACTTCTGGTTATATAACTTTTTATAACTTCAAATTAGCAACTTTCAACCCTCCATATAGCAAAGCGTATCAAAGCCTGTGAAGCTGTTGCTGTTTAGCACATGATGAACACACTTACTGTTAAATAAGATAAAGGCAATTAGAACATTAGAGGAAGAATTAATACTGTTTGTACATCCCTCATACCTTTGAAATTAAGTGTTTTTTCTTCTGCTTTTAGGCACTTATGTACAATGTGTTTTAAATGTGCTCTCTATTTTTCTAATGAAAATCTCTTTGATTGTTATTTTCCGTTGTTAAATAAATTGAACGTATTTCACTATAATTTCTTTTCTCTATTATTTAAACTGCATGTGTTTGCAGAGAAGAGGGCAAAATGGCTTCAGCATGGAATGATAACAGAAAAAGAATTTTCTCTTGTTGTATGTAAAATACGCATTGGCAGTCACTTGCCTTAGATAGTAACTTCACTTCTCAGAGCTTTCATGGTAATCTCTGTAATCACATATGTGAGCATTATTACTTCCTCAGTTGTATGGGAGGTGACAGTATCATAGAATAGAAAAAAGCACAGGCCCTAGCATCCATCAGATTATTTTGGGTGAAGTCCAGTATTAGGTCTTCTGTGTGCTCGGTGATTTGGAGTGCATTGCTTATCCTCTCTGTGCCTCAATTTACTTGTATTAAAAAGTTTTCAACTTAGCTCATACCTTAGGGAGTTTATAGGAGGATTCACTGATAAGTTAACCCAAGTACTTGGTGTTAGCTTCACCTAGTGTCTAACAACAAATAAGCAATCAGTAGCTATCAGTTACTATTATTGTGGAATCAATAATATTAATAAAGTTATTTTTAAGATTAAAGCAAAATATATTTGACAAAAAGGGAAGTTGCTATTGTCATGTGTACTAAACAAAGAAGTATCAGTGCATGGATGAGTCATCTGTTTAGCAGTATTTTTCTATTCTACCTTATGGTGCCTTGTCTTATTCATAGCCCAAGGTCATGTTTTAAACTAAACTAACCACCAACATAGAACAAAATGCCCTCTGACACATATTACACTTTCTACATTTCTTCCAATATTCTCAAAGGGGTTCATTATATAGAAATGCAGAAGTCCTCATAATGCCAGACAATCAAGATGTTACCTTGTAGCTAGAAACTGAGTGATTGTATAGAGCAATATCCAAATGTAAATGAATTATTCATAATCTTTATGCAGAAATGTAGGATTATGTAAATATTCCTTAAATTTTATATCTGTTGTACATTACTTCTTTACTAGGTAAGGATATTATTGTGTGTGACACAGCCAATCACAATAAATAGACAAAACCAAAAAAGGTCTTTCATCATGCAAGGCTATCAGTCCTGTTTAGAGAACAAACACTAAATAAGAGATTATCTCCAGTAGTCATACTGATTACATTCAGGGACAAATTTCTGAGATCCTGCTTTGTGGTCCAGATGAGAGATATTTGATATAGGAATTAAGCCAAGTAGTAGGTCATACTGTTTGGCTTATGCCCTACGTGGAGTATTGTGCACCATAATTAAATCACTAACTAGGAAATCATCTAAGTTGACAGGTAATTCAGGAGATAAGCAAACAATGGCATAAACAGGCAGTTTTCAAAGAAGTTTCCTTCTGCCTCTTCAATACTTACCTAGCTATGTCCAATGTACCCTATGTACTCTTCTTGTTGCATGCACTTTCTGAGGGCAAAATGAATAATTTGAAAATTATTAGAGATTAATAAAAACCCAAGAACCAAAGAAAATAGTGCCAATACTTAATTACTTGAAGTAAATAGAATGACTTAGAACTCAAACCTAGTGATCAATGTTACAATATGAACATATATGGTCTTTTATGATTCTTATTTCATTTTGTTGTTTTACTTTTATTAAACAGTAGGCCATTTATCTTTTGAGGTTTTTTGTTGTTGTTGATCAGGCCCAGGTGAGGTTCCAGCCTGCTGTCCCTGATGTGCACAGCTGACACACTAACCACTGAGCAACAGCACCCACCATATCTTTTGTATTTTTAACTTGTTTTTTGTAATGCCACTTTCTATTCATCACTTTAAAAGAATTGAAAAGTCATATTATGTACCATGGACGCTTCATGAGACCTTTCACTAAACAATTTGTTGGTTCTGTTTGGTTAACATTTTTTTCCTTTAATGTTATTTCATGTTGTATGTCATATAAATTTTAGAATGAACTTGAGATAATATAATGACCCTATGCTATTTTTCTATTCCCAGAGCCACAGACCTGTACGTTAAAAGATTTTCTTTGTGCCAATGGGGACTGTGTTTCTTCAAGATTTTGGTGTGATGGAGATTTTGACTGTGCAGATGGCTCTGATGAGGTAAAGCATCTTTGCAAAGTAAAACACAAAAGAAAACAGTTTTTTAAAACCACATTTATAATTATTATTGTTCAGTCCAATAAATGAGGCAAGGACAGCTCAGAAATGTACTTTACTCCTGACACAGTGAAATAAATATTATATCCATATCCTATGCGGCAGATACCCAGCATAGGGAATAGCTCTTGTGCTACTATTGACAGTTAATTTTATAGTTTGTTTTACTTCAACTGGTGAATGGCTGGATTGGGAATAGGATGTTTGGAAACTCTATTCCCTATTGCTTATGTCCTTGCCATCTGTGAATTTGTTCACAAATTTGCTGCACTATTTACAGTCAAGACTAATATGTTTATGCATTTTAAACAGTTTCTTCTCCCTAGTCTCTTTCTCCAGTAGATAAAGTCCTATAGATGTCAATGGAGGTCATCAATTTTCATGAAACCACAGGTTGAGCTTTGCTTAGGTGATGAATCACAATTCATTTATAAAGCCTATGTACATATAGCTTTAAGTTAAAAAGTTTACACTTTCTTGGGATAATTCTGTGAGCTTAGATTGTACTAACATTTACAATGCTTCATACAGTTCATTATCTGTGTATTTATGTGCTTATGTTTCAGATAGCAATCATTCCATTATGCTTTAAAATAGTAAATGGCACATGGTTATATATTTTTTCTCAGTCAAATCTGGAATGACCGCAAGCTCTCACTTTTCATTATCAGTGATAAGGCCAGTAATAGTCACTTTTAATGCTTTTTTCTGTTTCACTTGGGTAATAGCCAGGAACACATAATTTGTGCAATCAAATATAACCAGAATTGGAGGAAAAAAGATATCTCTGATCCTCAGTGGACACCGTGGTTCCATCTGACCATACAATGACTACCTAGAGCTCTGGGACTCTGGTTAGCAAGCATATGACCTGTAATAAAATAACCATAAGCTTGCCCAGAGAGGATTTTCACTGTAGTTCTGGAAATTCTCTGATTTAGGTCATTTTCTGTAGGTATCCATAGATTCTCTGCCTCGCTGGGAGACATTATTGGTCTCTAGAACCTACATAAACTAGTTGTCTTTCAGTCTGTAGGATTTCTTATTGGGACTGCATACTTCTATTCCCTTCTCTCACCATTTTTGAAAAAGTCACCCAAACTACATCTATAAGCCTAGATTTTGGAAACTAATGCATATAACTTCTCACCTTAGGACCAAACCTAAACCTTAATAATGCAAAGGTCTCTCAAGAGAAGAAGTTGAAAAATATCACTTCTACTCATGGCACTATTAACAATGTAAGAATAAAAATAAAAACCTTCAAATACGATGGGGGGGTTTAAATTTCTGCATTGACCAGTGACATATTTACATTGCGTTTATTCATTCAAAAATTAAACTTTTTCAAGGCAGGAAGTTCTTTTCTTGTAAACTCATATATCCCACGAAAATGTTTTGGATATGGTTTTATTTTTTTCATATGTTGTACCAGCCAGTGAAACATCTGTGCAACATCAAAAGGTGGGGATATATATTGCTTAACTCTTAAATATTTTTTGTTAAATGTTATTCACAAGATGTGCAAGGGACATATATAGAATCAAACACTTCTTTTAAAAATATTGTCAATGTGGAGGAGGTGGAGCATGATAGTGGATGGGAAGGATGTTTAACTCAGCTCTCCTGTAACAACAGGTGAGAGTGAGTGGGCTAGATCATTCCCAGTGTGGAGTATTGGTGTGGAGTGGCAGTTTGGGGTGTGCAGTGAGATGGCAGATTGCTGGACTTGGAGGATAATCCAGAGCTGCAGAGACTGCCAGGAAAAGGTTCTGCCCCCCGGCTGCAGCGGTGACAACAAGCCTCACCATGGAGGATTGCAGTTCCCCATTCATGGGGAGACTAGGTAGTGTGTGGAAAGATTGGTGAAGTGTGGACTCCCGAGTGGAATCAGGTGGCCAGAGTGAGGTGCTGTCTAGTGTGGCACCACCATGGTTAAGCAGTGGGAGAGACACCCAGATGGGAAAGATCCTGCATAGGAAGAGGCCATTGTTTTGAAATTTGGAAAATGGCGATAGCTGCAGGCACCTTTCCCCATGGGTCAGCCACAGCAATTTGAGTCTCACCGGCCGTCATCCTATACTCGGAACTGGCCCAGGACATCCCACACTCCACAGGGACTGTTGCAGGGAGAATTTGGGAAACCTGCCTGTGAAAATTTTTTGAGATCAGTGGAATCAGCAATTGGGCAGGGTCTAGGTGCCAAGCTGGTAATCAGCAAACACCAAGAACGGTTAAACAAGGAGACAGGTATAAGCCTGGGAACCACTCACAGCTCCACCTGGTGTCCAGAAAGTATATTACAACATAAATATATTCCTACTAAAGTCAAACCCTATGGCATATATAGTTGTTGCCTATATACATATATTTGTTGCCTTTTTTTCTCTCTTTGCTCATTCTTTTTGCTTTTTTCCTTTTTCTTTCCTGTAGGAGTTATTGTTAATTTTTAAAAATTATTTTGTTTGTTCTTCTCTGCCCCCCCCCCTTTTTTTAACCTAGTCTCACTATGTCACCCTCAGTGGAGTGCTGTGGTGTTGCAGCTCACAGCAACCTCTAACTCTCTTGGGCTGAGTAGTTCTCTTGCCTCATCCTCCCAGGTGGCTAGGGCTGCAGGTGCCCACCACAGCTATTTTTTGGTTGTGGTTGTCATTGTTGTTGGGCAGGCCCTGGGATGGGTTTGAGCCCACCAGCTCTGGTGCATATGGCTGGTGCCCTGGCCACTGGGCTAAAGGTGCTGACCCTTCCCCTTCCTTTTATGGTTGCTGAGAGTGCTTACCTCAGGCTATACAAGTTTTTGTGTGTGTGTGTGTGTGTTTGGTTTTGGTTTTGATTGTTTGTGTGTCTGTTTGTGTCTTTGTGTGTCTGATATTTTTTGTTTGTTTGTGCATTTTCTTTCAATGTGCCGTGTGTTCTGCTAAAACATCCTGTTGGCTATTTCCCTGACTCCAGTTTTTACATGCAACAAGAGCAAAGGGGAATGGGGGATGATAGCCAACTGAAGCCAGCTTCCAACAGAAGCTCCTGTACAGAGGGAGAGATAACGGCCAAAAAGAACCCAACAAAGTTAAAGGGTGGGAGTTGAGCTGAGAGAAGAGATTGATAATTGCACATCTTCTCTGCTGAGGCAAGCTAAAACTCCAAGGAAACAAATTTCAGGTGCAGAACCCACCCCAAAGAGGACGTGTGTCCATTCCCCTGCCCCAAGAGAGTTGCTTGCTTGCTGTGAGATCTCTACTAGTAAGCCTAGAACTGAGGTCCTCTTCTCTCACCCATTTGTTAGAAGCTGGGACTCCTTCTCCAGAGAGTCCCTGCTGTGAGCCTGGGCATTATCTTGTCTGGCATGAAGGTTGAACAAATATTTTCCCTGCCACTTTGAACTCCCAGTACACCCTTCTCCCTGGCCTAGTAGTCTAGAAGCCCAACACCTACAGAGAGAAGAACATTTGTGGTTCTTTGTTAAGACTGGGCATTGCATGGTCTGAGGTAGCACAGCTACACTGTAACTGTGAATCTGGTAACAGTGTGGAAAGGCATAGGAAGGGTAATGGGTCTGGCCTGGCTCTGAGAAAGACCAACTCAGCAGCAGGTGGAAGTTTTGGTCTCTGAATGACAGGGAGAGGCTCAGGAACCACTGAGGCATAGGAAACTGAGTGAAGACACCTCCCACCTAGTAGCAGCATTAATAAAGTGATCCCACCAGGGTCAAATTTCAGAGAGACACCTCCCCAGTTCTCTGGACGGCTGGAGGGAGCTAGATATTGCATTGCAGGGATACCAGAGGAGCAGAGTGGCAGGGGCAGAGGCACAGTCTCTGATGGCAAAAAAACATATGCTGCTTTGTTAACCTCTGATTTGGAATGAGCTCAGGTGGAACACTCCCCAGTTTCCACTGAGCATCCGAGGTAATCAGACTTCAAGTCCCCCAGCCAGCTGGTGGCAGAGTGTAGTCACTTGGCCTATGAGGTCGCTTCCCTCTGACTCTGGCAGGCCTAAATCCCTGGTGCATTTGCTCATTGGAGGGAACTGGGCCACAACCACATGGGGCTACCAGTGCCTGGTAAGGTGCAAGGTGGTCCAGACACCCTGGACTATTTTCCTGGGTGGGCCTTTCTGACTCCACAGAGCACCAGAGTGAGTTATACTTGAGCTTCCACTGGACCCCCACTACCTAGATGCTGAGGACCTTTTGAACTCTCCCACCTAATCCATGTTTATGTTGACCAATTGTGGAACAATTAGTTTGAAACTCTTGACCAGGGCCAATAGCCAGGGACCCATCAAGGTTGTACCCTGGTTGTGGTGTTGTGGGAGTTTAGGATTCTCCTTTCCACTTATCACCTGTGGGGAGGGAGCAGGGTATCTTAGTTGCTTATATATCTCCACAGTTGAGATTTCACCCTAAAGTCACTAATTCACTAGGATTGGACAGAGACTAGCCAAATACAGGTCAGAGTCATCTAGGCCCTCCACATCAAGCTGGCCTTCAGAGTTTCAGGCTGTAGTACTGAATGGGACCTTTGTAAAGTTCTAGGGTAAAAGCTGCAATCACTAGTCCAAGTTCTTTGGTAAAGGGCTGGCTAATTATAACTCCAGAAGCCCTCAATTCAATTTCTTATCAGCTTCTCTGGCCAAACAGTGAAAAATAATCATGGGGTAGAATCAGCAGAAAAACTCTGGCAACATGAACAATCAGAGTAGATCAACTACTCCCCCAAGGAATGAGAAAGGAGAGACAACAGAAGATCCCATTCATAAACAAATGACTGAGATGTCAGAAATCTAATTCAGAATTTGGATTGAAAATAAGATTAATAGAATATAGGTAAAGATGGAATTTGAAATTCAAGGAGCAATTCAAAAGTTATCTCTAGAATTCAATGAATTCAAAGACAAGAATCACCAAAGATTTTGACACATTGAGGCAAGAACTAGCAGCCCTC